CTCCTGCCTCAGCCTCCCGATTAGCTGGGATTACAGGCACATGCCATCACACCCAGCTAATTTTTTTTGTATTTTTGGTAGAGACGGGGTTTTACCATTTGACCAGGCTGGTCTCAAACTCCTGACCTCAGGTGGCCTGCGGGCCTCAGCCTCCCAAACTGCTAGGAATACTGGCCTGAGCCACTGCACCCGGAGCCTGGATCAGGAGTTTGATAAGTGAACAGTGGGGACAGAGGCTAGGAAGATGTCCCGCAGGGGAACAGTGGGTGATGCCCAGAAAATCCATGGGTCTCATGTGAGAGAGAGAGATTTGAAGGGCTGAGGCTGCGAGATGGGTGTCAAGGGATGCGCCTGCAGAGGTCGGGGTCCAGCCGCATTGAGCAGGGCCTCATGGGCCAGGAGCTAGGGCTTTCTCTTTGGAAGAGGCGGCTCTGTGTGAGCAGGGGCGAGGGCAGGGAGTCTAGTAGGAAGGCCGCTACTGTGGGCTGCCGAAGGTGACTTGAGGGGCGAGGGATTCAGGTCGGCGGGGCCTCCCACAGCGTCTCTGAGGGAGGTGTCAGAGGGTGTTGAGCTCCAGGGTCGTCCTGCGTCCTGCGGGGCCCAGCAGCTCTGATTCCGACCCCCACCCCGAGCTGGAAGCTGGCAGAAGGCAGTAGTCAGAGAACACAGATGATGTCCGAAAGCCGCCCAAGCCACGCAAGGAAGAGTGGAGATAGACAAGTAAGATGGGCTCTGGGGTTTTCTGCTAGAGAAGAAAATAGCCAACTATATAAGTAATCTGAAGCCGTGGAGAAGAAGGTGAAAGAAAGGTCGGGAGCAAGTAAGTAAACGGCTTGGGTAGAGGAACGCCCAGGAGGTGAGATAGTCAGAGAAAGTTAAAATGAAGGGACTTGGCTAAAGCAACCCAGTGCACAGTCCCAGAAAGGCAAGTGAGGCAAGCGGGGCGGGGGAGGGTGGTTGTGGATGTCCTCCCTGCCTAGGACGCAGCAGCCCCTGGGAAGGGACCAAGAATCCTCTGCCGCCTCCAACAGGAGAGGCTGCAGCAAGGGGGCGCAGGGCAGGAACGGGACTTTCGTGTGAGTCCGGTTTCCAGGGTCGCGGAGCAGTGGGATGCAGACGCTGGAAATAGAAACGAGGTATCCGGGAGATGGCGGGAGGCCCTGGGCAGGACTGGAGTGGCTTCTGCGTTCCCGGGCCAGTCCGGCCTACCCTGCCCCGTCCCTAAGTAACAGAGCGCCTCGTAAGCCCAGGACACCCCGCGCCCCATCTCACGGAGCCCTAAAATAACCTGAGGTGGAAGTGTGTTACAAATACGGCATCTGGGACTCAGAGAGGGCAGCCCCTCACCCGAGGTCACACATGAATCAGGCCCGCCCCCAGGCGGTGGAACCACTAGGAGCGCTACCGCTCAGGGGTCTTCTCGCCACTAGGGCCCCCATCTCAGGGAGGAGCCGCCCCGAGCCCCTCCCCCTCTCCGCCCCAGAGGGGCGGCCCGGGGGGCGGGAGGAGGAAGTGAGCGCAGCGGGGAGGAATGCGAGCGGGCGGGGCGGGGCGTGCCGGCCCGGGGCGGCGGGGACTGCGGCGGGCTGCCTGGACGGCGGGTGCGGCGGAACAGAGCGTGCACGATGCCTCACTTCACCGTGGTGCCAGTGGACGGGCCGCGGCGCGGCGACTATGACAACCTCGAGGGGCTTAGTTGGGTGGACTACGGGGAGCGCGCCGAGCGGGAGGACTCGGACGGTGAGGGCGCGTTCAGAGGGGCCGTGGCGGGGCAGCGGGGCCTGCTACCCGGGGCCGCCATCCCCAGCCAGCTCCCGCACCTACCCCGGGACCTGGAGCGCACACGTCGGTGCGGACTCAACTTTTTTTTGGCCCGCACCGCAGCCACTGGCTCCCCGCCCCGCGCTCGCAGACACGATTTTCCTTGGCCCCGGGCGCCAGCGCCCGGCAGCCCTCCCTACCCCTGCTCCTCCCCTGTGGGCCGCGGGCGGGGGCTGCAGACGTGGCTGCCCAGGGAGGCGGCCGGCTGGGCTGCCCGGCTTAAGGACAGGGCCCTTACCGGCCCTTCACCTTCGGTGAATCCCACATCCTCTTCTCTCCTCGGTTCCCCACTTCGGATTCAGCGTCTCTGCCTTTGAGACGACCCTCTTTCCCCCAGCCCAAATCCCTCCCTGTGCTTCTCTGTGCCAACCTGCACTCTGGCCAGAGAGTGCGCCTACTGGGGGCCCGACTGCCTGTGAGAGCGCCAGTGTAGATCTGTAGGGACAGTGGGCCTCTGTGAAGCACTCACACGGAGCAGGACGTGTCTAGGCACTTGAAGTGAATTAACCTGCTTAATCCTCCAGCATCACCGGTAGGATAAGTACTGTTACTCCCAGTTAGGAAGGAGTGAAGGGAGGGGTGGTGGTTATGTAACTTGCCCAAGGCAGTCAAGTCTGGGTAGAAGATTCCATCACCTTAACTCTTTAACCAAGGTGTCAGGGTCTGGAGGTAAGCCCCGTCTCCCTCCTCCTTTCTCCCAGGTGCCTGCCTCTCCCCACACCCTTTTCTCCATCTCCTACCCAAGATGCTGTTCCTCTTAAGGCCCACCCTTGGAGTGTGAGCTCGACTGAGGACATGGGTCTGTGTGTGTAGTGGCAATGCATGTCTAATTGTGCTTGTGCAAGTGTGGAGCTTGCTTGTAGCAAGTGTGGGTATCACAGGGTGAAGGCTGGTTCAGGGCAAGGCATTCTCACCACCCCTGTTTCCTGCAGGGTTGACAGTGATGAGGATGGTGATTTGGCTGACAAATGCCTGTGATATCTGTGACCGACCCTGATGGAGATATGCAGGAAGTGTGTGGTTGACATGTGCCAGGTGATGTGATCTGGACCTCTGATCTGTCTGTGGTGGTGACAGGACTGAGGTGATCTATGCCTGATGTGAATGATGGGTATGTGTGTGTATCACTTGACTGCCTTGTGCAGAGGTAGCACAGGACAGTGGCATGTGCTGCTGGACATTGCAGAGGTTTTACAGGCTTGACAGCTGTGTGAGTGCCCCAGCCCCCATGCCCTTGTCTGCCCCTATCTTGATTCAAGTGGTCAGAGCAAAAGCCAGCATCCCTGCTTCCCTAACCCTGGGAGGACCTGTCTCCCCAGAGGGTAGACTGGGCCGTACCCCCAGGATCAGCCTGGACCAGTGGGTAGGCAGAGCTGAGCCTAGCTGCTGGCCCCGCCTTGGCCCCTACAGGGTGACTGGAGGGACCTGGAGCTACATTGGCTGAGTCCTGCTAGATCCCTGCAAGCTAGGCCAGCTCCTCCCACTATACTCCTTCCTTCTTTCTCCTCCTCTTACTCCTTTTTAGCCAGACCTTGGCTGTCTGCAGGATGGGGGACACCCTGAACCCCGGTGAGTAATTTTGATCCTTGGTGGGGACTGCAAAGGGTCAGAGGGCACAAACACAGTGAGCCTCAGATCCATCTCCTGCCTCTTCCCCAGCTCGGTGCCCACACCTCTGCTCTGGGGGGCCTAAATGGGCTTACTCATCCAGCCCACCTTGGCCTGTGGACAGGGGGTAGGGAGGTCCTGGAGGGGGCCCCTCAGGCAGATGTCCATGTGCACAGGGATCAGGAGGGTCACATGGGCCCACCTGCCACTGGTGCAGTCACAGTTGTTGGTGGGAACACAGTTGTGTAGCTCACAGACAGTTCCTAGGCCTAGGCCATACTCAGATTTATTGGGGGTCTCAGACAGTGTCTGTGCAGCTTCGGCCTAGCAGGCATGCCCAGACCTGCCCTGGAATTTTTGGAATGGCTGAGGCCAGAACGGGAGGTCTGAAGCCAAGGGCAGTACTGACATCCAGGCTGTGCTTAGACCCTTACATTCCCACAAACTCTTGGGAGCTTTGAGGGAACTCCGAGGAGTGCCCACTGGCTGCCTGGCACTGTCTCTTTTCTAGTGCATCTGGGCAGTTGGAAAAACAAGTGTTATGATTTCTACTTTATAGAAGAGGAAACCAAGGCTGCACAGGGAGTAAGCAGATTTCCCTGGGTCACATGGAGGAAGGGCCCAGAATCCAAGCCAGGTTGCCATGATCTGAATGCCCAGAGGCCTGGGTATGCTTACCTTGGCCAAATTGTAGCACTCTTGTCTGTGTTTAAAGATTGTGCTGCATAGATGGACTGGAGTCTGTAGTAGGAACAGAACCTGCAGCTCAACCCCCACCTTGCTCTGATGGACACTGGGACCCAGATGTGGCCTTCTTCATGGGTGGCCTTGCCTCTGAACATCTCTGAGCTTCACTCTCCTTGTCCCTATAAGGCAGTAAATGTTCTCTACTGGAATGTTGCTGGTGAGAACTGGAGACAACTTTTGAAGGGCCCTGAGCCATCCTAGAGCGATGGCTAAAGGGCCAAGGGATGGTCTAGGTCTTAGAGGACCATTTACAGGCATTTGCAGGGAGCTGCTCTGTGCTCAGCTGTACGTTTTTGGGATAGCAGTACAGTCTCCCCAGAAAGACTAGGCAATGGTGATGGGGCAGGCTGCAGTACCTGAGTTTAGAATAAATTATAATTGATTTCTAGCCTACTCCCACAAAAGAATCAGAAGAAATAGCCAACAAAAGTGTCTCCCTAAGTGATCGTTACTGTCAGGAAGATCAAAAACCATGCAGAGGAAGGGGGCAAGGACTCTGAGATGAGACAGATGGTGACTTTATCTAAGGAGTAAATTTAGCTTAGAGATTCCTGGCAGCCAAAGCAGAAAGAGAAGTGGTGGGGCATGGTGGCTTACGCCTGTAATCCCAGCACTTTGGGAGTCTGAGGCAGGCGGATCATGAGGTCATATCGAGACCATCCTGGCCATCCTGGCTAACATGCTGAAACCGTCTCTACCAAAAATACAAAAAATTACCCGGGTGTGGTGTCACGCACCTGTAATCCCAGCTACTTGGGAGGCTGAGGCAGGAGATGCACTTGAACCTGGGAGGCGAAGGTTGCAGAGCTGAGAACATGCCATTGTACTCCATCCTGGGCGACAGAGCAAGACTTTATCTCAGGGAAAAAAAAAAGAAGACAAGTTGTATAGCTGCTATTTTCTGACAAAATGAAGCATCTGATTTATCAAAGGGAGACACTTTTTTTTGTCACAAAAATCCAAGAGTAATTTTCAAAGGCTTTTCACTGAAAGGCCATTAATGTAATGAGCAGTGTGTTACTGGGTTTTCAGATTTTTCTTGGGACTCCTTCTGATCCTGAACAAGCATGGAGAGCACAGCAGATATCATAGGGTGTCCAAGGAACTACATGACCCCACCTGGCTTTAACATTGCACAGTGGACTGACTTGACCTCTGGCTGCCTTTGTGCACTGTGCCATTGGCATTGATCTCTGTGAATGAGAGACTGAGCTGCTTGGCTCATTTAGCTAGTCCAGATTGCTGGGTGTAGCAGGTGTGCCCCACATTCGCAGGCTGTGGGAAGGGAGAACTGACTTTGACCCAAACATTATCATGGCACACTTCATCTCTTAGTTTCCTTGGGGGTTAATGAATCCACAGCATAGCACCTGCTGAGCGGTTGTAGGCTCAGAGAAGGCAAGTGAAGCCTTATGCTGTTAGCAAGAGACGTATCAGAGGTAGGACGATGCCTCAATCAGCATTCTCAGCTGCAGACCAGAGAAATGAATTGTGGCTATGTAAACAGAAAAGGTTGATGGGCATGGCTGATACGCAGCCCAATCACACCATTAGTCTGCGCTGGTGGTGACAGTTCTGTTGCCACCTCCACCATTGGACACCATGCCAGTCCTGCTAATGTCAAAACTGCATACTGCTGCCATCCAACACCAAGATGTGTGCTTTCCATTTGCTGTGAGGCCTTGAGCCAGGGCCGGGGCTGCCAGGGTAGCTGGGGTGGAGGGAAGACTTAGCACCTAAAAAAGGAGTGCTTGGTGTCCTGCTTGGTGGGAAGCTGGGAATGGCATCCACCAATACTCACAAGGGACAAGAGCTGGGAGACAGGGAAGAGTGTGAATGATGGGAGGCCAGAAAAAACAGTCGAACTTTGGGAGTTGAGGCAGGCTTATAAAAAAGGGGCATTTTGCGCCTTTTGGTGAGATTTCCTCAGAGCTGGGGCACTGCAGCCTAAGGGTGTAGGCGGAAGTTAGTCTGGGCCAAGCGGTGGGATCTGGGGGCAAGGGGGCCATTGTGCTGCCCCTGCTGTCAGTCCCGGCTCCCATTCTCCCTGCTTAGTCTGACACCCACAAGCCCAACTTTCTTAAGCAACCTTAGAATCTCCTTGCATCCACTTCCGTCCTCCAATGTCCTGGGGCTTGCCCCGCCTCCCGATATGCCCCGGGCTGCCATGCAGAATGCCCCCTCGCAGTGCATGGTTGGGTAGCCAGCTGGCCACCTTCAGGCCATGGCAGATGAAGGTGCTCTGTGTAGCTTCGTATATTTGGAGGGCACTGCCCTGGCGGTCCCTGAGGACACCGAGCTCTCGGCATCCTGCACATTGGGTACTCTGGAAAGGACAGAAAAGGGATGGGCGTGGAGGGGATCTGGGGGCGGGTCAAGGCCTGGCCCCGCCCCTTGGTGGCCACACGTGCTTGTGCTAGGGCGCCTGTGCCTTCACCTGGATGGCCTTCACTGGAGGGAATGATGTCCCAGGTTTTGGTCACTGGCCACACCCTGGCTATCTCTAGCCCTTCAAGGGCGCTGGCAGAGTGCTTTGTGGAAACTGAGTTCCAACCTGGTAGCACTGCAGCTCCAAAGTACTTTACAGTGATGATGTTTTGGAGACTGGCCGCCTGGGAAGGGGCACGGGCTGCGGACTCAGGAAGCAGGCTATGATTGTTCCTCTCTCTTCACAGGACATGGCAACCACAGAGAGAGCAGCCCTTTTCTTTCTCCCTTGGAGGCTTCCAGAGGAAGTGACTACTATGACAGGAACCTGGCACTGTTTGAGGTAGCTGAGAAGCCATTTTGGGCCACAGGTTTGGCAGACAGGGCCTTTAGCTAAGCAGGCAGGCTGGACACTTGGGCTTCTCTGTCTCACTCCTCTTGTCTCTTGTTGTCTTCCGGGTTCTCATGGCAGCTAGGCTGCAGTTCCCTTGGCCCTTTTAGTTGAAGCTGCCTTCCCAGAGGCTACTGACAACCCCACCCCCATTGCTGCCTCCAGGGCTGTTCACCTCTGACTTCCTTACAACCCCTCAGCAAGGAAACACCAGTTCAGGATTTCCCAACTCAGGATTTCTCCTCTTCCCTCCACTCCTGGTTCTTCTCCAAGTCTGTGGTTCTTCGCTCTCCCATGGATTCTTCCTTGTCTTTCTTGGTTGGTTCTTCCAACTCTGTCCCCTTCTAGTTCACTGAGGCCTGGTCCTTTCCACTGGATCTGCTCCCACTTCTACATTTGCAGCTTTAGGGTATCCCTCTCTGGAAAGATTCTCAAATATTTGTCTCTGTACTTAAGTGTTATCTTTTTCAGACTCATGCTAAGCAGTGAGATTTGGATTTAAGATGTGGTTTAAGCTCCTTTAAGCTCTTAAACTCTGACCCACACATTCAGCCACTGCATGGCTAAATAATGGAGACTCCTCAATCTCTCTCTCTCTCTCTTTTTTTTTTTTTTTTTTGTTTTGTTTTGAGACAGAGTCTCACTCTTCACCCCAGGCTGGGCTGGAGTGCAGTGACACGAACTTGGCTCATTGCAATCTCCACCTCCAAAGCTCTGATTCTCCTGTCTCAGCCTCCCAAGTAGCTGGGATTACAGGTGCCCACCACCACGCCTGGCTACTTTTTGTATTTTTAGTAGAGACAGGGTTTCACCATGTTGGCCAGGCTGTTCTTGAACTCCTGACCTCTATCGATCCTCTTCCCTCGGACTTTCAAAGTGCTGGAATTACCACTGTGAGCCACAGCATCCAGCTGAGCCTCCTCATTTTCCACATGCCCCAAAGGGCCCTCATCTGTCCTTCTCAGGCCAAAGCAACTATTCCCTGTGGGTAGGTCAGAAGGGAGCTGACAGAGTGGGAAAGGCTAAATGTGGGCAGGCGAAAGGTGGAGGCACAGCACTGAGAAGGCTGCAGGAGGAGGGATCATCACCTAGACACTGGGGGGGCTGGGGAGCCTGAGCCTTGGGAGGCCTCCTAACCTGGGAAAGCAGCAAGGTTCTGCAGTGAAGGCCTTGGCCCAGCCCTACCTGAGGATGGGCTGAAAGGTCAGGATCCCATCTCTGCAATTGATGTGGGTACTTGCAGGACTGGGATCAGGGAAGACCCTCCAGGGAGATGAGGGTTTGGGCAGACAAGAGACTTCACTTGTCCCAGACATTGTTCTTTTGCCCTCTTTGGGTCCCTGAGGTGACTAGGGTGGCGTTTTTGTGGGGAGGGTAGATGTGAGTCCTGGAGATGCAGCCATAGCTGGGAGATCACCAGGCAGAGCAGGCAAGATAAGTATGCCATTGCCCACCTGCCAGTCGTGTTCTGCCCGCCCTCTCTCCCCTGAGGCAGGTAGTTTTCACAAATGGGCTGGCAGAGATTGCAGCCAAGGTGAAGCAGAGAAAAGCAGCCACGGGGCTGGGCCTTTGAGTGCCACGTGCTGAGGTGTGGTGCCCACACCTGCTCAGTTGGATGGTTTGGGCTTCCCCAGGGAAGAACTGGGATCAGGCCCAGGCCTGCCTCAGGGCTTGGAACAGGGCCAGGGACCAGGCAGCTGGCTACACACAACTGGCGCCTGCTTGGCCCAATGCCATCTTGCCCTGTGGCTCTGTTTACAGGAAGAACTGGACATCCGCCCAAAGGTATCATCTCTTCTGGGCAAGCTTGTCAGCTACACCAACCTCACCCAAGGCGCCAAGGAGCATGAGGAGGCTGAGAGTGGGGAGGGCACCCGCCGGAGGGCAGCCGAGGTGAGCTGGTTGGGGCAGCAGAGGGGCCATACCTGAGAAGACAGACAAAACACCATAGAATTGGCTGTTTCCCCACATGGTGGTGAGCACCCCATGGGAAGTGGGTGCGAAGCATGGTGAGCAGGGAGGATGGGCACTGAATGCCTTGGCTCAGGAGGCTTCAAGAAGCAAGCTAATGAGAATCTCCCCAGAGGCAGAGAGCCAGGGAGGCCCTCAGTAATGACAGTGGGAGCCACAGCTGCCTGTACTCAGCCCTTACTGTTTGTGAGGCGCCACAGCAGGCAGTGAGCCTGGGTTCTCACATGTCATCCGCACAACAAAACTGAGACCTGATGCTACTATTGTCCTTGCTTTTCGGATGAGGAGGCAGGGTCAGGGACATTAGGGAACTTGTCTAAGGTGACTCAGTGAGACAAGATCACTGTGTAATGCTGGAAGATGGGTTTGTGGATTTTATGGGAGACAGATTTGTGGGATATGTAACTATGCAAAATGCCAGATCAATGACATTGTGTGAGGGTGGCTAAGGGTGTTACCCTCGGAGCCAGGAACCAGGTTGTCTCTTGGAGGCCATACAATCTAGAGCAAGGCACAAACCCTCCTGCCACTCGCAGTGTTGGCCTGAGGCTCCATTGGCAGAACCCTCCAACGACCCCCTGGGTTCCTTGAATGCCAGGGTTGGGGGACGAGTACATGGATCGGAGCCTGCTGCTGCCTTGTGAGGCTTCCCTGTCCTTCTTTTTGGTCACAAATCCAGTTCTCTGGCCCTTCAGCCCTCCTCTCTTTAGGGTGACTGTTTAGCCTGGCTCCTCTGTGTCATGGAACTCAGTATAGCTGAGGGCTGGGGATTTTTGTACATTTTTGGTTTGGAGGTAAGGGACCTTCCCTCTCTACATACTAACTCCCTGAGGTTTGGAAAGCAGTGGTGTTTGGGGAGGAGCTGAGGTCTGGCACTGGCTTTAGTATTCTTGGAGGTCAGCACAAGCAGAAGGAGCTCCTGGCTGGGATAAGCCAGGCCTCCAGCCTCACCTGCTCCAGAGATTTGGGGCTTGCTGGGGTGGGGCCAGCAGAGACGGTAGACCCTGCTGAAGCGTGCCTCTGACCTTGCCCTTCAGGGAGGCAAACCAGCCCACACTTCAGAGAGGGCAGCTGATACCTTGAGGTGGCACAGACCTGACCCTGACCCTGTCCAGCCACGTGTGATTTTGTTGGCATGTTCTGGACTAGACAGCAGAGAACCCTAATTAACGTCTGGCTATCTCTGTCCAGCACTGCAGGGGTGTCTCAGCATCTGAGAGTGCTGCCCACAGTGGGTGATGGGATCCTTAGGTCACAGCCTCATCCCTGTCCCTTCAGGCCAAGCCAGGGGGCTGGTGGCTGGGAATGAAGAGGCCCCCTAAGAAAGGCTGGTGCACATCTCAGCAGGAGTTTGGGAGGGATGCCTGGGCCGGAGAAGGCCCATCCTTCCTTGGCCCAATGGAACCCGTGAGGATGCTTAGCTTATTCAGCTTACCTGGCCTCAGGGTAAGGAGGAGAGAGGGTGGCTGGGTGTCCTAGCTCCAGTGGTTTTTTTCATGGAAGAAGGATGAGCCTGGCTAAGTCTTTAAGGAGTCAGTAGGAAGCTAGGGATCTGGGGCTGCTAAGCTGTGGTCCTCACCCAGGGCAGCCCTGAGCAGGGGCCTTGGGAAAGGAAAGCTTGAAGCAGGAAGGGTGGGTCTCCGACCAGACCACTCCAAGACCCAAAGCAGCCTCTCCCCAGTAGCTGCTCCAGCTCCAGTTCCAGCCTGATGACCTCCTGAGGCTGCCAGAGGTTATTTGGGGATGCAGAAAGCATTTCCGGCCCGCCCTGCCCTTTCCCACACTGCCCTTTTCTCAGAGTGACTCAGCCTGGGATGGGGGTGGGACTGGGAGCTCTTGCTGACACTATTCGGTGGGTGGCATCCTCTGAGAAGGGCTCAGACAAAGCCCAGAAAAGAGGGATCCATCCCCTGCACTGCTCCTCAAACAAATGGTTGAGGAGCCATTTGTTTTTGCTGAGGCTCTTCTCAAGTCCTTTAGGTGGCTCACAGGTCCTGCCCCAGGCCAGGACCCTTCAGGAGGGGCATTAAGGAGCTTGTCTAAGGTGACTGAGCTAGACAGGATCACGGCCATGGAGTTCTTTTCTCTCTAGCTTCAGGGCAGCACTGGCACTGTCTTCGGGGGCTTCCGTGTACCCTCTCCCTGAATGATTTTCACTAATCCAGTCCTTTGGCTCAGTGAGGAGGCTTTGCTGGGGCTCCGGTGGAAGCTGTCGGTATCACTGCGAAGGCTGCGCTCTTGGGGGTCCAGTGTCTCAAGAAGATGTCAGCCAGCCTGTGTGCTCTCAGCCTCTGCCCTGGCCTCCTGGCTGGCCCCTACTTTGTTCTGAGATGAGAAAACCTGCCTGGATTTGTACATTAGATCTTCCTCACCTGCCCTACAGCCTGAGTACTTTCCCTGTAGGATTTTTCCAACAGGATGTCCCAGGGGCTTCCAAAGCACCACTCACTGGGTTCAGAAGCACCTTTTGGGTACCTGCAGGTCCTGCTGGTGATAGAACCATAAACAAGCCAAGTCTGCCCTAATATGGTCACAAAACATAACAAGTACAGTCTGTTACCATGACCCGTAGTAACCACTGTGGTAGGGAATATCAGATGCCTAAAGAATGTAGAAGGGAGGACTGACGCTACCTCCGGCAACCTGGGGACATCTTCCTGGCAGAGGTTGACAGTTAAACCTCCTGAAGCCGGGCACAGTGGCTCACGCCTGTAATCCCAGCACTTCGGGAGGCCAAGGCAGGTGGATCACCTGAGGTCGGGAGTTCAAGACCAGCCTGACCAACATGGTGAAACCCTGTCTTAAAAAAAAAAAAAAAGAAACTCCACTTAAAAACAAACCACCACCAACAACAAAAACAGTTAAACCTCCTGAAAGTCTCACTGTAGAGGAGTTTGTCAAGCTGTGAGGCAGGGCTGACTCTCCCAGGCAGAGTCCAGCACATTCTCAGGTTTGCAGAATCTGAGGAACCCATGTGGTCAGGGACTGGGGCTAATAAAAGAGGTGATGGGACACATCTGGTGGCCCAAGCCAAGGAGTCTGGACTGTACACTGGATTACAAGACAACACAGAGGGTTTTCAGCATGGGCGATGAGATTGGACTTGCTTTCAGAGACCTACCCTAGCAGCAGAGTGGGCTGGAGTGTGGAGAGGTTGACAGGCTCAGGAGGGCACCACCCAGGTGCCCCAGGTTCAAGGGACTAAGGCTGGGACAAAGCAGGCTGATATCAGGGCAGTAGGGAGACAGACTGGGTAGGAGTTGATGTCTACCAGGACTGTAGTTGGGTTGAGGAGAGGGAGGGCCAGGGTCAACTTCTTGGACTTTGGCTTATGTGACTTAGGGCCTGCTAGGTGAGAAGGTGGAGATGTGAGACAAACCCCTCTTTCTAAAAGTTTAACAGGAGAGAGAAGGGAAGAAGGCAGTACCTTGAGAGAGAGTTAAGTTTCCAAAGCTTACTGTGGGGTTTTAAAAAGAATCAGGTTTTACACCTTCCAAGATCCAACTGTCTTCCTATATGTAAGTCAGTAGCGACATCCTGGCTGTCATGCCTAACTACTGTGTTCCCTGAGGCCCCACTGGGGAAGGGGGCTGCTGAGTGACGAGGGCTGACCCTCCATGGTTCATCCCTCTGATGCTCTGTTCACCCCCTCCCTTCATGTCTGCACAGGCGCCCAGCATGGGCACCCTCATGGGGGTGTACCTGCCCTGCCTGCAGAATATCTTCGGGGTTATCCTCTTCCTACGGCTGACCTGGATGGTGGGCACGGCCGGTGTGCTGCAGGCCCTCCTCATCGTGCTCATCTGCTGCTGCTGTGTGAGTGTCCTGGTGTGGCTGGGGTGGGCTGGGCATGGGTCACGGCTGTCCCCACAGAGCCCACCCAGCTGAGCCGCTCACCCCGGCCCTCCTTCCCACAGACCCTGCTGACGGCCATCTCCATGAGCGCCATCGCCACCAATGGTGTGGTTCCAGGTCAGTGAGCACAACCCAAGGCCTGGTGGAGGAGAAAAGGGCCCAGACTCTGCCTTGACCTGCCTGGGAACCCCCATAGCTCAACCCTGCCCCAAGCAGTTCTGTAGTGGGGTCCTAGTCCCTGATGCTAGGACAGTGTCCACTTAGGAGCATCCCTGCTTGACAGAGTTGGAGAGTGCTGTTGGGTTTTTGTTAGTATAAAAGCAATACCAAGAAGAAAGGGCAATGTATGTTTACCATAAGAGGATTTGAAAGTGCAGAAAAGTGTAGAATGGAAAATCAAGAGCACCCATAATCCCACAATCCTGAGATCATTACTATTTGCCTTTTGATATATATAGGTCTTAGGGTCTTATGAAATATTGCACATGCACACTCTATGTAAATTACATGTATATATCTGTATTTCCCAAAAGTATATGTGTGGTATATATACATATGCATGTATGTGTATATGTTTACGTGTATACATGTGTGTGTATGTTTCCCAAGTGTTGAAAATGGTTTTTTGATTTTTGGTTTTTGTTTTTTTTTTCTGAGACAGAGTCTTGCTCTGTCACCCAGGCTGGACTGTAGTGGCATGATCTCAGCTCACTGCAACCTCTGCTTCCCAGATTTAAACAATTCTTTTTTCCTTTCTTTCTTCTTTTTTTGAGATGGAGTTTCACTCTTGTTGCCTAGGCTGGAGTGCAATGGCTTGATCTCGGCTCACCGCAACCTCCATCTCCCAGGTTCAAGCAATTCTCCTGCCTCACCCTCCCAAGTAGCTGGGATCACAGGCATGTGCTATTACGCATGGCTAATTTTGTATTTTTAGTAGAGATGGGGTTTCTCCACATTGGTCAGGCTGGTCTCGAACTCCTGACCTCAGGTGATCCGCCTGCCTTGGCCTCCCAAAGTGATGGGATTACAGGCGTGAGCCACCTCGGTCAGCAGTTTAAGCAATTCTAAGGGATGTTGATGCCTCAGCATCCAGAGTAGCTGGGATTACAGGTGCCTACCACATTTTTGTATTGTTAGTAGAGACAGGGTTTCACCACGTTGGGCAGGATGGTCTTGAACTCCTGACCTTAAGTGATCCACCCACCTCTGCCTCTCAGAGTACTGGGATTACAGATGTGAACTGCTGCACCCTTCCAAAAATGGTTTTTTGAAAACGGGATTCTTTCTCTATGGTACACCATAACCTAATTAATGTGATTATTCTCTAGCCTGTGGGTTCCACTTTTTCACCAAGGTGTACCTTGTTGTCATGAATATCCTTGAACATGAATCTTTGTTCATGCCCCAGCAGTTCCCTTAGGAGAGGGTCCTGGAGATGGATTACAGCATGAAAAAGACTTTTTATTTATTTATTTATTTTATTTTGAAACAGAGTCTCTGTTGCCCAGGCTGAAGTGCAGTGGTACGATCTCAGCTCAGGGTTCAATCGAATCTCCTGCCTCAGCCTCCAGAGTAGCTGGGATTACAGCCATGCACCACCACGCTCAGCTAAGTTTTGTATTTTTAGTAGAGACAAGGTTTCACCATGTTGGCCAGGCTGGTCTCGAACTCCTGACCTCAAGTGACCTGCCTGCTTCGGCCTCCCAAAGTGCTGAGATTATAGGCGCAAGCCACTGTGCCCAGCTGACTTTTTTTTTTTTTTTTTTTTTTTTTGTTGAGATAGAGTCTCTCTCTGTCGCCAAGCTAGAGTGCAGTGGCATGATCTTGGCTCACTGCAGCCTCCACCTCCTGGGTTCAAGCCATTCTCCTCCTGCCTCAGCCTCCCATGTAGCTAGGACTACAGGCGTAGGCCACCACACCCAGCTAATTTTTTGTATTTTAGTAGATATGGGGTTTCACCGTGTTGCCCAGGCTGGTCACAAACTCCTGAGCTCAAGCAATCTGCCTGCCTCCGCCTCCCAAAGTGCTTGTATTATAGACGTGAGCCACCATGCCTGGCCTTTTTTTTTTTAATTTATATTTTTATAATTTCCTTATTTTAGTAGAGACGGGTCTCACCTTGTTGCCCAGACTGGTCTGGAACTCCTGAGCTCAAGCAATCCACTTACCCCAGCCTCCCAAAATGCTGGGACTACAGGCATGAGCCACTATGTGCCTGGCCAAGACTGACCCTTTTTTTTTTTTCCTGGTAACTGACAAAACAAAGACTGACTCTTTATAAGAACTTCTTGATCCCTGTTCCCAGATTTTCACCAGAGACATTGTGTCAGCAGCAAATACAACCAGCAACATGAGACGACTCCTGTCTCCCTGTGCTTGTCACCCTGGGGCCCAGTGATGACTCTCTGAGCCTTGCAAGGGTGTTAGGCTTTGATAGAAGCAGAGACTCTGGGCAGAAGCCCTGGACACTCGTGGCAGGCCCTGTGCTGGGCCTTAGGGGCAAAAGATTGGATGAGACACAGTCCCTGCTGTGGTCTGGAGGGGTCAGACTAACAAAGGCACAGGCCTCAGAAGGGTGAGGTGGGCTGAGATGGGACATACCCAGCCGGAGGAGGCCGTGGATCGCATGCAGGGAGTTGGAGGACAGTGGCCACTCAGCCACTGCTGCAGACTAGAACTGCCCCAGCAAAGCAGTCATTTCCCTGGGCCATACTGGACATTCGAGTCACATGGGGATAGGATCAAATGCCAGCCTGGCTGCTTACCCGCCCTGCAGGTCTCCCAGCCCTTCTATGCATCCATAAATGGGAAAAGCAGTCCTTGTCCCTCTGGGTGGTTGTGAGGGCTTGTTACAGGGAAACCCCTTGAAGAAGAACCAGCCTTGACCTGTGCATACTTTCCTTTCTCTGCTGTAGCTGGGGGCTCCTATTTCATGATCTCCCGCTCACTGGGGCCAGAATTTGGAGGTGCTGTGGGCCTGTGCTTCTACCTGGGAACGACATTCGCAGCAGCCATGTACATCCTGGGGGCCATCGAGATCCTGCTGGTGAGTCAGGCTGAGCCCTGGCCAACTCTGGTCATGTCCAAACAGTCCCTTTGGACTCCAAACAGAGGCCCAGGCTGTTTATTCCCCCTCACCTCTGGCCAAGGTCTGGGCGTTATAAAGTAGGAGGCCTCTTTGAGAGACAAAGACCTTTGCTCAGGGCAGTCTTCCTTTCGCTTCCATGCCAGTTTGGGCCAGGCAGGGAAGAGGCCTAGCTGCCTTCACCTCGGCCCTGGATGTTCCATCCACCTGGGTACCATCGCATCCATGGCAAGGGTTCCATGAACTTGTATTTGGCTCAGTGACAGATCTTGATGGTGATGCAGACTTCCTTCTGAGCTTGTGTGGGCTCTGGCCAGCTCTGTGTCCCCCAGGGACCTGTCCCAGGGCACTTCAGATCCAGCTTCTCATCCTTCAATCAGGGTAAGCAGCCACAGGACCCTGCTGGAGGTCAGTGCTCCCTCCGTGAGCCCCATGGGAGCTGTCTCAGCCTCAGCTTCTCATTCCCCACTGAACTGCCGCAGCAGTGGGAGAAGAGGAAGAGGAGCTGCGGGAGGCACAGGGTGACAGGTGTCCGCCCCTGGGGATCTAGAGAGTACGAGATACTTAGAGGGGCTGCCTAGTTGTTCTTGCCTCCAGGTCCTCTACCTGCAGCATGGATCCTGTACCTGGATCTTCTGATTTTGGGGGATTTTGGTTTGTTTTCATTTCTCATATTCCTTCTACATTTGTTATTTGGGATTTGTCCCTTCTATTTATTTATTCAGCCACGTCATTATATCTGTATGGACTTCTGGATATTTACTTTATTCTTGGGTTGTAAACCAATACTATCATTATTTATTTTGTTGCTTAAACTGTTCCACTTTGCTATTTAATGATTCAGGTTGGCATCTATGTCTGGATCCCTTTTGTTTGCTTGTTTTCAAATAACAGCTTTATTAACATAAAATTTACATACCATGCAATGCCCATGCCAATTTACATACCATCGAAAGTGTACAATTCAGTGTTTTATAGTATATTCACAGAGTTGTGCAGTCCATTTCAGAACATTTTCATCACCCCAAGAACCCCCATTACCAGTCACTCTCCATTCCCCGCCAGCCCCGGCAACCACGAATCTGCTTTCTGCCTTGGGATTTGCCTATTCTGGACATTTCATATAAACAGAATCATACAATATGTTGCCTTTTTTGACTGGCTTCTTTTAGGTACTCTTATTTTTTCTCTTTCTTTTTTTTTTTTTGAGACTGAGTCTCACTCTGTTGCCTAAGCTGGAGTGCAGTTGTGCAATCACAGCTCACTGCAACCTCTGCCTCCTGGGTTCAAGCGATCCTCCTGCCTCACTCTCCTAAGTAGCTGGGATTATAGGTGCACCCCACCATGTCCAGCTAAGTTTTTACATTTTAGTAAAGACAAGGTTTCACCATGTTGCCCAGGGTGGTCTCAACTCCTGAGCTCAGGCAGTCTGCCTGCCTCAGCCTCCCACAGTGCTGGGATTACAGGTGTGAGCCACACACCAGGCCTATTCATTTTTTGAGACAGGGTCTCACTCTGTCGCCCAGACTGGAGTGCAGTGGTGTGATCTGTGCTCATCGCAACCACCGCCACTGAGGCTGAAGTGATTCTCCTGCCTCAGCTTCCCTGGTATCTGGGATTACAGGTGTGCAAGACTACTGCCAGCCTAATTTTTGTATTTTTAGTAGAGACAGGGTTTCACCATGTTGGCCAGTCTGGTTTTGAACTCCTGACCTCAAGTGATCCACCGCGTTGACCTCCCAGAGTGCTGGGATTACAAGCGTGAGCCACTGCACCCAGCCTATTTTTTAATTTTTTGAGACAGAATCTCCCTCTGGCACCCAGGCTAGAGTGCAGTGGTGTGATCTCTGCTCACTGCAACCTCCGCTTCCTGGGCTCAAGCAATTCTCCTGCCTCAATCTCCCAAGTAGCTAACAATTACAGGCATGCACCATCATGCCCAGCTAATTTTTGTATTTTTAGTAAAGACGGGGTTTCTCCATGTTAGCCAGGCTGGTCATGAACTCCTTACCTTAAGTGATCCACCCACTTTATCCTTCCAAATTGCTGGGATTACAGGTGTGAGCCACTGCACCTGGCCTCTTTCAGGTACTCTTAAAAAAAAAACCAAAATAATGAGTTTCACTTTCCAAATAAGAGAAAACCCTCCTTACCTATCTTCTTATTTCAGACCTACATTGCCCCACCAGCTGCCATTTTTTACCCAACGGGTGCTCATGACACGTCGAGTGCCACTTTGAACAATATGCGTGTGTATGGGACCATTTTCCTGATCTTCATGACCCTGGTGGTGTTTGTGGGGGTCAAGTATGTGAACAAATTTGCCTCGCTCTTCCTGGCCTGTGTGATCATCTCCATCCTCTCCATCTATGCTGGGGGCATCAAGTCTATTTTTGACCCTCCCGTGTTTCCGTAAGTAACCCAGGAATTTATCTGGGCATTGCATGGACATCCCTCCCATGTAACCAGCCTTTGATGCCCCAGATTGCAGAGACTGCAGGGTGGGCACAGGCTGGGACCTTGAGCTGAGCAGGTGCCAATGCTTCTGTCCCTCACAGGGTATGCATGCTGGGCAACAGGACCCTGTCCCGGGACCAGTTTGATGTCTGTGCCAAGACAGCTGTGGTGGACAACGAGACAGTGGCCACCCAGCTATGGAGTTTCTTCTGTCATAGCCCCAACCTTACCACCGACTCCTGTGACCCCTACTTCCTGGTTAACAATGTGACCGAGATCCCTGGCATCCCCGGGGCAGCTGCTGGTGTGCTCCAAGGTGGGTCCACCCTCCTGTCCTCCTGCTCTTGAGCCCACAGGCTGAGCAGGGGCTCAGAGCACAGAGCTGTCCTTGTGTGGCCAGCTTGGGAATGGGGGCAGGACTGGCTGCCTTCCCAGCCCAGCAGTGTCCTCTCAGCCTGGCTCCTGGCAGCCGAGTTTGGGGTGAGCAGAGCCTGTCTGGCCAGCGTCCCAGGCCTGCAGTCACCCGTCTTTCCCAGCCACCAGCCCCTGAACCTGCCTGGGGACGTTCCCACAGGATCCATAAAGGGCCTCTGTCTGCGAGGCAGGCAATGGGGGGCTCTGGGTGATGGTGGTTCAGCCACCTTTTTCTGTTGACTTTTGGCCGGGCAGCTCCTTCCCTGTGGTCAGGGAAGCCCTGTGGCTGGAGCTGTAGTCCGTGGGCTGAAGCTGTCCCCTGAGTCCCTAAAGCTTCCCTGCATCTGCAGCCGCCGGCTAGCCTGCCCCAAACTGCCCAGGGTAGTGGGGGGTGGCTGTGGTGGTGACGCGGCTCCCCCTGCAGAAAACCTGTGGAGCGCCTACCTGGAAAAGGGTGACATCGTGGAGAAGCATGGGCTGCCCTCTGCAGATGCCCCGAGCCTGAAGGAGAGCTTGCCTCTGTATGTGGTGGCTGACATCGCCACATCCTTCACCGTGCTGGTCGGCATCTTCTTCCCTTCTGTAACAGGTGAGCCCCGCCTGCCCACCCACCCAGCCCTGTCCCCAATCCCAGTGATCCCCTGAGGGAGTCTCATCTGTTTTTGGAGGCATCATGGCTGGCTCAAACCGCTCTGGGGACCTCCGTGATGCCCAGAAGTCCATCCCAGTAGGGACCATTCTGGCCATCATTACAACTTCCCTCGTGTGTATCCTTTCCCAGGCCTGGGGCAGGTGGGGTGGAGGACAGAAGGCACTTGGCCTGTGTAAGTCACCAGGTGGCATGCACAGACACCCCACACACTCATATAGCTCCCCTTCTCATGCACACACACAAACACACTCACACACACACACACACACACACACACACACACACACACACACATACACCATGAGATCCCCAGCTGTAGATATCCCAGTGGTCTATGGCTGGGGTGGAGTCACGTGGTCCTGTTTGGGGACCGTGGAGTGGCAGAGGCCGAGCTTTCCTTGACGCCGCTGCAGACTTCAGCAGTGTGGTTCTCTTTGGCGCCTGCATCGAGGGTGTGGTTCTCCGGGACAAGTGAGTGAGCTGGGACCCTCCCTGTAGCAGCAGCTCAGCTTTGGCCTGCCCTTACACCAGGCCCCAACCCCATGGGTGGTCCTTAGGCTGCTGGCTGCCCTTGGTGGTCTGTGCCGTCCTTCTGGAACCCTAACATCCTTCACTCTGGTGGCCCCTGCAGGTACGGGGATGGTGTCAGCAGGAACTTGGTGGTGGGCACACTGTCCTGGCCTTCACCCTGGGTCATCGTCATCGGCTCCTTCTTTTCAACCTGTGGCGCTGGCCTCCAGAGCCTCACGGGGGCACCACGCCTGTTGCAGGCCATTGCCAAGGACAACATCATCCCCTTCCTCCGGGTGAGCCCCTCTGCACTCCCCCAGGGCCTGGCTGCTCCCGGGCCCTCGCCCGGCTGGGGAGAGAGATAGGGAACACAGAGATAGGACGTCCTGCCTTCAGTAACCCCTGGGCCAGGCACTGTCCAGAGGAACTACTGAGAACTGTCCTGGGCCTGGCACTGTCCTGGGCCTGGAGTTGTCTAGACCCAGAATCTTCATGGCCTGTTTAAGACTCATCTAAAGGAGAGAGGCTTGGCAAGGTGGAGTCAGGGTGACTGGTGACACTCACGTGGATAGGCACAGGGGTAGCCTGATCCCCCGAGGAGGGCTGTGGGAGTGAAGGAGGCCAGGCTGGGTCCTGGGGCCCAACGTGTGGAATGGGGATGACAGGACCAGCTTCTTTCCTGATGCATGCAGGTGTTTGGCCACGGGAAGGTGAATGGTGAACCCACATGGGCACTCCTCCTGACAGCACTCATCGCCGAGCTGGGCATCCTCATCGCCTCCCTTGACATGGTGGCCCCCATCCTATCCATGTGAGCTGGGGCTGGGCAGGGCAGAGGGATGGTCTGGGAAAGGCTCCCTGAAACCCAGCACCTCCCCATGGCTGTGTCTGGTGTTGGGGCGCAGCTGGGAGATGTGGCCTGGCATGGCTCAGCCCACCCCTGCATTTAGGAGCAGGTTGGCACCTATGCCAAAGCTATAAAGTGACCAACAGGTTCACACATCCATGAGAGAGCCCCCAGAGCAGGTGGCCAGGAGACCTCCCCCATGACAGGGCGAGCACCACATCCCTCATACCTCCATGAAGCCACTACTGCCCCCTCCATCTGTTTTTTTTTGTTTGTTTGGTTTTGTTTTGTTTTGTTTTGTTTTGTTTTGTTTTGTTTTTGAGACGGAGTTTTGCTTTTGTTGCCCAGGCTGGAGTGCAATCTTGGCTCACTGCAACCTCCGCCTCCAGGGTTCAAGCAACTCTCCTACCTCAGACTCCCGAGTAGCTGGGGCTACAGGCGCCTGCCACCATGCCCAACTAATTTTTTGTATTTTTAGTAGAGATGGGGTTTCATCATCTTGGCCAGGCTGGTGTCGAACTCCTGATGTCAGGGGATCCACTGGCCTTGCTCTCCCAAAGTGCTGGGATTACAGATGTGAGCCACCGTGCCCAGCCCATCCATTTCAAAGTCATTTGCTTTTAACATTCTAGAATCAGCCAGGCAATTCTGCGTGCCAGTGGATTGCAGGGAGTGGCCAGCACATGGAGACTCCCAGGGTCCCCGAGGCAGCGCCTGTTTGGTTGCAGTGTTCACCTCTACCTAGTCTGGGGTCCTCGCCCACCCTGCTCTGTGACCAATGCTCCTTCTTGCTTGTGTGGTTATGAACGGCCTCCCCTTCCCTGCCCCCTCAGCCTGCAGACCTGGCAGGGCCCTGTCTCCCTGAGCAGCCTCTGCCCTAGCTACAGCCAGGCCTGCTGGAGCCAGCATCCTCTCATTCCCCTACCCCATCCCTGCCCCTCACATAAGTGCACAGCTGAAACTGGCCATAGCCGTCTTGGGTAGTGACCCCTCATGCCCAAGCCAGAGGCTACATCTCAGCCTTTATCTCAGGCCTCCTGCTGGCAGCGCCTGAAGGGACTCATACCATCTCCCCCTCATGGGAGCCCCTGCCCCCTGACATGCCCCATGTGGGTTCTCCTGCCTTCCTGTGCACCCATCCTCAGCTGCCCACCCAGAGGGCTCACACAGCCGGCCCTGCCCGCGCCTCAGACTCCCATACCCACCGCATGGTCTCTTAAGTGTCTGACTGGGTGCATTCAAATGGTCCGCTTCATCCTCCATCCTCCCCTTCATGCCTGGCAGCCCCTCATCTAGCTAGTTGCCCAGGCCAGAGTCCCAAGTGTGGCCCAGAGTCTCCAGGCAGAGCTCTTCCCGCCACCCAGCACCACCCTCTTCAGCTCTACCCCGTTACTCCCCTTCCCACCTCCTCCATGGGCGAACCCTCACCCATCCTCAGTGATCTGGCTCCAAGGACACCCCCAGCATAGTTTCATCGCCTCAGACCATGGAAGTGGGGGCAATGAGGTTGAGAAGAGCTGGCCGAGCCAGGCAGGGTGGGTCACGCCCCATTTCTGGGCCAGGCCCAGCCTGACATCAAATCCCTGGCTGCCGAGGAGGCTGCTCTGTGCCAACCACCCCCTGTGCCGCAGGTTCTTTCTGATGTGCTACCTGTTCGTGAACCTGGCCTGTGCGGTGCAGACCCTGTTGAGGACCCCCAACTGGCGGCCCCGGTTCAAGTACTATCACTGGTGAGCCACGCCTCTGACATGGGAGGCCTTGGGGAGGCCAGGAGCCTCATTCTGGATGAGGCTTGGGCTTCCTGGGCAGGTAGCTCTTGATGAAATACTGTGGGGAGGGAGATTATGGGGCTGGGGGAGCTGGACCTGTCTCCCACCCAGTATATGACCTGGGATGTGACAGAGCCGCCAGGACATGGGCCAGGCTGTTCCCTGGGACCCTCCTGGTCCTGCCCTGATTCTGCCCTCCCCTCTGGCCCAGGGCGCTGTCCTTCCTGGGCATGAGCCTCTGCCTGGCCCTTATGTTCGTCTCCTCCTGGTACTATGCCCTGGTGGCCATGCTCATCGCCGGCATGATCTACAAGTACATCGAGTACCAAGGGTGAGTAAACGGCTGCCACCTGGCCTATGCCTACAGTCTGCACAGCCTTGAGGGGGCCCAGCCAAGCAGGTGGTCTGATGTGGGAGTGGGTAGGGAGCTGGGTCACTGTGGATGCCAGGACTCAGGAATATGACTCAGGGCCCCTGGGTGGTCTTGGAGGGCAGAACACCTCCACCTCGCATCCACATAGACAGAATCCCCTGGGCGGCACCTGGGGCTCACCAGCTGCTGTGGAATCTGCAGGGCTGAGAAGGAGTGGGGCGACGGGATCCGAGGCCTGTCCCTGAGCGCTGCCCGCTATGCACTGCTGCGGCTTGAAGAGGGGCCTCCTCACACCAAGAACTGGCGGTGAGTTCCCACCAGACCCTGGCCAGGGAACACAGGTTCTTAAGGGACACTGTCAGGGACAGAGGGTTGAGAGGTGCCAGCTCCCCTTCCCAGTCTGGGTTCCCTGTCCTGGGCTGCTAGGGGCACCCTCCTGGGCCATGCTACCCAAACCCACAGGGACCATGACCCGAGAAGGGAAGAAGAGGAGGGGCTCCCTGGAAAGGCCAGCCCTGGTCTCAGGCTCCCCGCACCTGGCCACCACAGGCCGCAGCTGCTGGTACTGCTGAAGCTCGACGAGGACCTGCATGTGAAGTATCCACGGCTCCTCACCTTTGCCTCCCAGCTCAAGGCCGGCAAGGGCCTGACCATTGTTGGCTCTGTTATCCAGGGCAGCTTCTTGGAGAGCTATGGCGAGGCCCAGGCCGCTGAGCAGGTGCCTGTTTCGGGGGATGAGAGCTGAACTGGACTATAGGGGTCTGGATTGCACCTGGCATGAAGGGGAGGGGCCCAATCTTGCCCAGGGTGGCTGGCGGGGCAGCCAGCACTGCTGTACCTGAGAGCTGGCACAAGGGGTAGCTGGCAGTCCCATCTTGAAAACTTGGCCTCCGGGTGAGCAGCTTGTTGCCCCCAGGCCCCCCTCCACCCCAAAGTCGTTTTGTTCCCGAAGGGCCTTAGGAGGGAGCCCAGCAGAAGGGAAGCTGATGGCCTCCCCTCGGCCCCGGGTATGTTCCCCACAGACAATCAAGAACATGATGGAGATTGAGAAGGTGAAGGGTTTCTGCCAGGTGGTGGTGGCCAGCAAGGTACGGGAGGGGCTGGCCCACCTCATCCAGTCCTGTGGGCTAGGCGGCATGCGGCATAACTCCGTCGTGCTGGGCTGGCCCTACGGCTGGCGACAGAGCGAGGACCCCCGTGCCTGGAAGACCTTCATTGGTGTGTGAGGGCCTGAGGCCTGGGCTGGGACTGGTGGGCAGGGGTGAAGTGAGGTGGCAGTGGCCAAAGGGCCACAGGTTGGTGGTCAACTGTGCCTGTCCTCCCCAGACACCGTGCGCTGTACCACAGCTGCCCACCTGGCCCTGCTCGTGCCCAAGAACATTGCTTTCTACCCCAGCAACCATGAGCGCTACATGGAGGGTCACATAGACGTGTGGTGGATCGTGCATGATGGTGGCATGCTCATGCTTCTGCCTTTCCTGCTGCGCCAGCATAAGGTGGGCCGGGGGTGGGGTTGGGTGAGAGGGGCTGGGCCCTTGGAGAAGCTCTGACCAAACCGCCCACCCGGTCCCTTGCCTCAGGTCTGGAGGAAGTGCCGGATGCGCATCTTCACAGTGGCCCAGATGGACGACAACAGCATCCAGATGAAGAAGGACCTGGCTGTCTTCCTGTACCATCTGCGTCTTGAGGCCGAGGTGGAGGTGGTAGAGATGGTGAGCCCCCTGCCCTGCCCTGGCCCCTGGATACCATGTCCCATGCAACTGGGTCTTCACAGCCTACCTTGTCCCCAGCATAACAGTGACATCTCTGCATATACCTACGAGCGGACGCTGATGATGGAGCAGCGGTCACAGATGCTGCGACAGATGAGACTGACGAAGACTGAGCGAGAACGAGAAGTCAGTGCCCTTCTTGGTTCAAGCCAGGGTGGGTGGCAGGGTCAGGCCTTTGGAGACCCTATGGTGGGTCCAGAGGAATCAGAATGACTCAGCACAGCCCCACCCAAGCCAGTGCCCATTTCCTGGAAGCAGGGTGGTCACATTGGGTCAGTCATGCTGCCATCCCCCTTTTCCTATGGCACCAAGGCTACCTCCTTTGATTGTCGCTAGGCCCAGCTGGTCAAGGACCGGCACTCGGCCCTGCGGCTGGAGGGCCTGTACTCGGACGAGGAAGATGAGTCTGCAGTGGGGGCTGATAAGATCCAGATGACATGGACCAGGGACAAGTACATGACTGAGCCCTGGGACCCCAGCCACACCCCTGACAATTTCCGGGAGCTGGTGCATATTAAGCCGTAAGTGCAGCAAAAACAGACCCCGCTGCGCTGGAATCTAGGGGCAAAGGTGGGGTGGGGCAGAGAAGTTGTGTTAGGTGGGCCAGGGTGGCTCATGGTGACCTGTGACTGGCTACACTACATGTAGGGACCAATCCAACGTACGGCGTATGCACACCGCTGTGAAGCTCAATGAAGTCATTGTCACGCGCTCCCACGATGCCCGCCTGGTTCTGCTAAACATGCCTGGCCCACCCAAGAACAGTGAAGGTGACGAAAACTGTATCCCTTTGTGGAGAGGCAGGCAGTGGGGAGGTAGACAGTGTGGGAGGTCAGGCCAGCAGCTCCTCTACCAGGCACCCCTGGGTGGGTGTGGTTGCCTGGTTGCCTCTTGGTCTTGGTGCTGCCTCCTTGACCCGAGGCCCTGCAGACATGGAGTTCCTCGAGGTGCTGACTGAGGGCCTTGAGCGAGTGCTGTTGGTGCGCGGTGGTGGCCGTGAAGTCATCACCATCTACTCCTGAGCCCAGTGTCATCTCGTGGCCCGGAGTGGAGGTCGCGGCTGGGATATCACAAGCTGTGGTCTGGGGTAACAGCCTCCTCCCAGCACCCACCTGCCAGCTCTGCTTGCCTGGCCCTGTCCTGGACCCAGCTTTGTTAGGTCTCCTTGGAAACGAGGTCTGGGCCTCTGGAGATGGATCCGAGGTCCTGTGGGACTCTGGGAGGTTTGGGGACTTTACCATCTAGCACCCCAGTAGGCCTGTCCTGGCCAGAGAAGACTGGTGGGGGCCGAGTGGGGTTTGAAGGTAGCTGGCCCAGCCCAGCCCAGCCCAGGAGCGCTATTTATTGCATATTTATTGTTTGGACGTCACCATCAGAGACGAAGGGAAGGGTAGCCAGGGAGGGGGTCCAGCCTAGCCGCCTGCAGGAAGATCTGGCTCAGTCTACTACTGGCAGGGCCCCCCACCAAGCTGAGCCGAATGGAAACAGCGAGCTGAGGCCTGACTTTTTCAATAAAACATTGTGTATTCTGGGCCTCCCGCTGCTGCGGCTCTGTTTCCCCTGGCGCCAAGAGAAGAAGGCGGAACTGATTCCAGGCCTAGAGCCGGCCCCTGAGGCTGTGCCCCTTTCCGGCAATCTCTGGCCACCACCACCCCCACTGGCCAGGCTGTCCCTCCCACTGGCCCTAGGGCCCCTCCCACCCCCACACCAGATAAGGCCAGCCCAGTGCTGCTTCCTCTGGCAGTAGGCTCCAGGGCTGGAATGGGGCCGCCTGGCTCCCCATGGCAGTGGGTGCCGCTGCTGCTGGGGCTGCTGCTCCCTCCTGCCGCCCCCTTCTGGCTCTTCAATGTGCTCTTCCCCCCGCACACCACGCCCAAGGCTGAGCTCAGTAACCACACACGGCCTGTCATCCTCGGTAAGCCCCCGCCAGGCCCCTGATGCACTGCGCCAGCAGCTGACCCAAAGCCCTTCTGTCCTGTTTAAGCCCCTGTACCTGCTTCAATGTGGGGAGGGGCCAAAAGCTTGTCCAGTAGAGGAATGACCCTCCCTTCTCCCCCAGTGCTTTGTCTCTCAGTTGCCTACCCCAGGGGGGCGGAGTGGGGGATGGGGTGTGCCTGAGGTTTTGGCTGGGGCATCACAAGCTGTGGTCAGCCATAGCCACACCAGACTTTGGGCCAAGCCCCACCACTCCTTCCTTGGCCCCCACCCACCAAAGACAAGATGCCCAGCCTAGGGACAGCGAGCAGGAAAGGCCCATCCATGCCCGGCCCTCCTAGGCCCAGCCCCCACACCCCTAGACCTATCTGTTCCCACCTTGGACTTTGGCAATAAAGGAGTTTTGCCAGGATGGGTGTTTACTCTGTAGAGGGAGAGGTCAGTGGCCTTGACCCCAGCACCTTCCCTTCCTCGGGAAAGCCTGGGCTTTGGCTACTAGGGGGACAGCAGGGAGAGGGAATATGAGCAGGGGAGGGTAAGTGTGCTTTGTACGTGGGGGTTGAGGGGTTGAGAGAGTGGGAGGTGGGGGGCAGGTCTGGTCACTGCAGCATCTGGGGTGACCGGGGTAAGGGTCACGGGGAGAATCCAGAGTCCAGAGTGAGGGCCGCTGCTCACAGTGCCCGGCTGCCTGGGGAATCAGCTAGAAGCCAAGCTGGACAAACCAGATGTGGTGAACTGGATGTGCTACCGCAAGACAGAGGACTTCTTCACCATCTGGCTGGATCTTAACATGTTCCTACCCCTCGGAGTAGACTGCTGGATCGATAACACCAGGTATAGCCATGTGCTCCACCCCAGCCCCCACATGCTGCCCCTTGGCTACTGGCTGCTGAGTGGCACCTCACCCCTAGGGTTGTCTACAACCGGAGCTCCGGCCTTGTGTCCAACGCCCCTGGCGTCCAGATCCGTGTCCCTGGCTTTGGCAAGACCTACTCTGTGGAGTATCTGGACAGCAGCAAGCTGGCAGGTGTGTGTCAGAGGGCAGGGCCGGGGCTCCAGGCTGGGGTGCTGGCCCGCAGCAGGCATGGCCCGAGCTCCCAGTGCCGCTGCCTCCCCCACAGGGTACCTGCACACGCTGGTACAGAACCTCGTCAACAATGGCTACGTTCGGGATGAGACCGTGCGCGCTGCCCCCTATGATTGGCGGCTGGAGCCTGGTGAGTCTCTGCCGAGGACAGGCTTGGGGCTGGACAGGTGGCCCCGCCCCAGCTGCCCTGACCCCTTCCACCCACTTCAGGCCAGCAGGAGGAGTACTACCACAAGCTCTCTGGGCTGGTGGAGGAGATGCATGCTGCCTATGGGAAGCCTGTCTTCCTCATTGGCCACAGCCTCGGCTGCCTACACTTGCTCTATTTCCTGCTGCGCCAGCCCCAGGCCTGGAAGGACCGCTTCATCGATGGCTTCATCTCTCTTGGGGCTCCCTGGGGTGGCTCCATCAAGCCCATGCTGGTCTTGGCCTCAGGTGAGAGGGCCTTGATCACTTAGGCCCAAAGAGCGGAGGGTGGTGAGACGAAGCTGATCCTGGCCCTGCCCTCACTGCGGCTCCTGCTCACAGTGGCCTCTGGGGGTGTTGTCTACCACCCCTGGACCGGCAAGCTTGCTGTCACTGGCCCCCAGAGCAGTGACCCTGGCCTGAGCAATTAGGGTGGCTCCTTCCAGAGTCTGTGTCAGTGATGGCAAAGGGGCAGTGAACACTGAAAGGAAGAAAACCCCAGCTCTCTGCCCCCAGGTTTGTTCCTTGTAGCCCCAGAACCTGCCTACCTGGCCCTTGCCTGCCTTCCACTTGCATGAGTGCCTTTGCCCAGGGATGTGCTTTACTGAGGATGGATCTGCCAGAGCTAGGGCCAGACCCTCAGAGCCCCGCCTGCCCTTCCCTAGGGTGTGGCACCAGGGCCCAGCACTGACACAGCTACCACCTACTCCCTACCCGCTGTACCCTGGGAGCTGGCTCACAGTCTGGAGAGAGAAACACTCATCAGACACCACCAATAAACATCAAACACCATCTCATTTCCCCCTTCCTGGACCACAACTCTGTGACCCCCATTGCAGCACAAGCCACACAAGTAGCAGAGAGACACATGCCCAAGGGAGAACAGCTAGCACACCCCCAGCATCCCCACACCCCCCAGTGTCCCCACACCCCCCCAGCATCCCCACACACCCCCACTGTGCCACACATCCCCACCGTGCCACACCCCCCACCATCCCCACACCCCAGTCCTCAGGAAGCCCCACCTGCCTTTTTTTAAGATAGGGTCTCTGTCACCCAAGCTGGTGTGCAGTGGCACAATCATAGCTGCAACCTTAATCTCCTTAGCTCAAGCAATCCTCCTGCCTCAGCCTCCTGGGTAGCTGAGACTATCGGCATGCACCACCACACCTACCTAATTTATTTTTATTTTTTAGTAGAGATGAGGTGCTGCTGTGTTGCCCAGACTGGTCTAACTCCTGAGCTTGTGATCTTCCTGTCTCAGCCTCCCAAAGTGTCGGATTACAGGCGTGAGCCACTGTGCTGGGCTCTTGCCCTTTTAAAAAATATTTACTTGTTTATTTATTTTGAGATGGAATCTCGCTCTGTTGCCCAGGCTGCAGTACAGTGGCACAATCTCAGCTCACTGCAACCTCTGCTTCCCGGGTTCAAGTGATTCTCCTGCCTCAGCCTCATGAGTATCTGGGATCACATGCATGCGCCACCATGCCTGGTTAATTTTTGTATTTTTAGTAGAGACAGGGATTCACCATGTTAGCCAGGCTAGTCTCAAACTTCTGACCTCAAGTCATCTGCCCGCCTCAGCCTCCCAAAGTGCTGGGATTATAGGCATGAGCCACTGCGCCCAGCCCTATTTATTTTTTAAGCTGGGGTCTCACCCTGTCACCCAGGCTACAGTGCAGTGGCGTAATCATAGTTCACTGTAACCTCAAATTCCTGGACTCAAGCAATCGTCCTGCCTTTGCCTCCTCCATAGCCAGGACTAGAGGTGCACTCCACTATGCCCAGCTGATTTTTTTTTTTTAATTTTGTATAGACAGGGTCTCACTACGTTGCCCAGACTGGTCTTGGACTCCTGGCCTCAAGTGGTCCTCCTGCCTCAGCCTCCCTAAGTGCTGGGATTAGAGGGGTGAGCCTTGGCACCTGCCCCTGCCCTCCTTTTGAAGCCCTACAGCTCCACCCAACAGAGGTGCCATCAGGGCTTCTCATTGAATAAGCCCACATTGAGCATCACTGAATATCAGGCCTGCTCAAGTCTGTAGCTTAGAGTTTGTGTCTAGATTGGGCAGGGACAAGATGGAGTATCTGGCTGAATCTACAATCAGCAGGTTGTGGGCCAGGACTGGCTCCCTGTCCCACCTTGCTCCATATCCACAGGTGACAACCAGGGCATCCCCATCATGTCCAGCATCAAGCTGAAAGAGGAGCAGCGCATAACGACGACCTCCCCTTGGATGTTTCCCTCTCGCATGGCATGGCCTGAGGACCATGTGTTCATTTCCACACCCAGCTTCAACTACACAGGCCGGGACTTCCAGCGCTTCTTTGCAGACCTCCACTTTGAGGAAGGCTGGTACATGTGGCTGCAGTCACGTGACCTCCTGGCAGGTCTCCCAGCACCTGGCGTGGAAGTATACTGTCTTTACGGCGTGGGCCTGCCCACACCCCGCACTTATATCTACGACCACGGCTTCCCCTACACAGACCCTGTGGGTGAGCTCTATGAGGATGGTGATGACACGGTGGCCACGCGCAGCACTGAGCTCTGTGGCCTCTGGCGGGGCCGCCAGTCACAGCCTGTGCACCTGCTGCCCCTGCACGGGATACAGCACCTCAACATGGTCTTCAGCAACCAGACCCTGGAGCACATCAATGCCATCCTGCTGGGTGCCTACCGCCAGGATCCCCCTGCGTCCCCGATGGTCATGACCAGCCCAGAGCCCCCACCCCCTGAATAAAGACTTTCCTTTCCTGCTGTAAGCCCTGATGTGTATGTTGTGAGTTGAAGGGAGGCACTAGAGTCCCACACCAGGTTTCACTCGTCACCAGCCACAGGTCAGTGCGGAGTGAGGCAAGATGGGCTCGGCTGAGGCCTGGGACTGAGCTGGGCACCCTAGATGTACAGCTGTCCACTCTCCTGGTCAAGCTTTTGAGGCAGCATGCACCATGCCTGCCTCTGTGCTGGGCATGGGGACTGGAGCTGGCTGCACCCACAGTCCTGTGAGAGGAGTACAGGGAGGGGGTGATTTGAGCTGTCCTCCAAGCTCCCAAAAGGACAGGTGAGACAGGGCCTTTTGAGTGGTGGGTGACTGACAGGGCCGAAAGAGTTTAGAGGCCGGGTATGGTGGTTCACGCCTATAATCCCAGCACTTTGGGAGGCCAAGGCAGGCAGATCACCTGAAGTCAGGAGTTCGAGACCAGCCTGGCCAACATGGTAGAACCCCCACCTCTACTAAAATACGAAACACCTGCCAGGCGTGGTGGGACACACCTGTAGTCCCAGCTACTCAGGAGGCTCAGGCACGAGAATCGTTTGAACCTGGGA